GATCCAAAACAGAGATTTTAAGTACGATTTCGATTCGGTTAAATCAGATTGGACATCTCTTATCAAAGATGAAACGTACATCTTGCTGGCTTTTGTATCTTACTGACATTCGTTGTTTTTCCTGCAGAACATGGGAGACTCGAAAATGACGAAAACAATACGATCAAGAACCTTGTTGCCATTTTTTAAAATTCAATTCCTTGTGAAGAAAAACATGCTAACATAATATAAATTACATCTTGTGGGAAACCTCATTACTTGTTATACAGACACAACTTCAAAATAAATTTCTCTATCTTGCAAACATGGTGATAATTTATAGACAAAAGCTTTACGAAAAAGAAGAAGAGATTAGTGGAACTTTACAATGATACATGAGATGTCATCTTTGCTCTTCTTAGATTTAGCTTCCTCTATCAAGTGCTTTGCAGCTGCCTGTGGATCTTTGATACTCTTAATCGCATCAACCGCTTCTTGGTTCGACATTACCTGCAATTAAACATCGACCATCACGTTAAAAGTCCAGACACTCTGCAACACCGAAAACATTAGACTTTACCTTCCAAATACCATCGCTGGCGAAAATGATGAACTCAGTCTGATCATCAATTGCCTGTTTTGTTATGTCTGGTTCGGAGCTCAGATGTATCTTTAAGCTCTTATCTCCAAACGCTCTCGCAACCGCTAACTGTCCATCCACTCTTGGAACATCCCCTGCAACACTTTAGGATCATTAATATACCATTTACATCTGCTAATCCAAGGAGACCGAAACAGTAAGCAAGAAAATAGGCAGCTTTACCTGGAATATTTGATACAAAGCCACCTCGGCTCTCTATTTCTTTTCTCTCCTTGCTTGGCTCATGATCGACTGAGAGCTGATGCGCAACGCCTTTCTTAGACATCACTGCCCTCGAGTCTCCAACATTAGCAACCACTAGCTTTTGACCATCGATTAGAATCCCCGTTACAGCCGTTGATCCACCTTTACCAAGCTTAAGGGACTGCTGCAATATCACTGCATCTGTTGATCTATACGCATTCCTTATAGCATTCTCCGTGTCAGTCCAAAAATCCTTCTGAGAAAAACAAATGATGGATCGGTAAGTGTAATAAAATTCACAAAGGATTCGCCTTTTAGCTCCCAAAACGAGATTTTCTTGACGAAATAAAGATTTACTTCTTTTAAAATGTTGTCAAAGAGATTAGTCTGCAAGTATTTGGCTACGTCATGCCCCAAGTGACCATCAAAGATGGCAAACAAACCCAATTCATGCCCTTCAACTTTCTTGAATTCAGAAACAACATAGTCCTCCATTGGATGGCTTGATTTGCCCTTGACAAAGTGGAAACCGTGCGTGATGTTCTTCCACATCTTGCTTTTGCCTCTTCCCATGTCAGGAGCCGATCCGCAGAACCCGGCCTTTAAATCAATAATTCACAGCAAAACAATAGAGTTAATACTGCAATCACACAAGGTCAAGGAAGGATCTATAAACACTCTCTATTCACAAATCCTCCCAAGTAAGAAACAGTTTAAAATTTGCTAGAGTGATCTCATCTAAACTTGTTTATCAGATTCCTTAAAACCCATAAACTAAAGTTCAGGCTTTCAATAGTATCATAAGCAGAACAGAGGGATCCAAAACTACCATATATGCACAGAGTCTTCAAAAAAAACATAAATTTTCAAGGATCAACCACTGAACTTCTCACACCAGGCCACAGACTTAAACTTCTAATTTATTAAAAAAGACTTTTCAAGTTCTGCTAAAAGAGAAACAGCTAGCAACAGAGAAACTGATCCCAGGTCCAAACAGAGCTATAAACCTTAAGGAAAATTAAGAAGTAGCTTGTAAGACAAACAAAGGACTGGAAAAAAGATCAGATCAAGGAGATCTCACAGTAATACCATCAGTAAGCGTACCTTCATCTTATGGAAAATATCTCTGCCTGCCATTTTGAGACGATTCC